AAGGGTAGCAGCTGGGCTGAACTTCTTTTGGCAGACAAGTGAAGGGAAGTCAAGTGTAGTGTTTGTGTGTGTGTGTGTGTGTGTGTGTGTGTGTGTGTGTGTGTGTGTGTGTGTGTGTGTGTGTGTGTGTGTGTGTGTGTGTGTGTGTGTGTGTGTGTGTGTGTGTTTGAAAATGGCGCGTGCATGGGGTTGAGAGAGGCAGTTCCGTGGAGGCAATTGAAAGGTGGACAGCATGTGTGTGTTTCATACATGTGTGTTTGTGTGTGTGTGTGTGTGTGTGTGTTTGTGTGTGTGTGTGTGTTTCATACATGTGTGTACTTGCCAGATTTAAGGATTCCAATTGTGAGGCACGAGTTGGATAAAAAAAAGGCACATATGTTCATGTGGAGGTGCGGAAATGTGTGAGGAGTCGATATATGGTCGCATGTGAGGGCTGCAGGGATTTTATACAGCACCACACACACAGTGGCATACATACTGTATGTGACAGCATGATGTATAGCCTCCCACCCACTCTCTTCCTTGTATTCCCCCCTCCCTCTCTATATATATGTGTGTGTGTGTGTGTGTGTGTGTGTGTGTGTGTGTGTGTGTGTGTGTGTGTGTGTGTGTGTGTGTGTGTGTGTGTGTGTGTGTGTGTGTGTGTGTGTGTGTGTGTGTGTGTGTGTGTGTGTTCTGCCACTAACCTACTTTCGACACCGCTCAGAAGGAGAAAATACCGCAATACTCTCACACCCCTCCGTCATTCTCTCGCTTTACCCCTCATTCAGCGCTCTTCGTCTCTGCCCTTCTCTCTTCCTCACTGTTGTTTTCCCCCCTCTTCCTTCTCTCGCCTTTATTCCTAACCACTCACTCTTTTCAATCATGTCTGTGCCCCCAGGACAGGTTTCTTTCTTTCTATCTTCCTTTCCTACTCTCCTGCATTGAGCCCTCCATATATTTTCCAACATAGCCTCTTGCTGTCCTCGTGCGTTTGCTGACACCGCATCTCATCCGATATTGAATGGAGATGGCATGATAGAGATAGGCATGATTGATGGGCGGACTCAGCGAGAGAGAAAGGTGGACTGAGGAGAGATGCAAGAAAGCGGCGGGGACACAAGGCGGAAAAGAGCTGAGAGGAAGAAAAATGAGAAAGAGAAAGAAGAATGTAAGAGGAGATGGGGGAAATAAGAGCAGAGAGGTATGGGGAAGAAGAGAGAGAAGGCTTAACAGAGGGAAATATATCGGTGAGAAACAGGCAGGGGCTTTACTGAGGAATAGAGATGACAGAAGACAGAGTTAATATGAAGACTGTATGGAGCTGTGATGGACAAGCTGAATGAAAGGCCAGTGGAAGTGACCGAATGTACGTGTGCGTCATATGTCTTCGCCGGTGTACTTTGTGGGCCTTTTTTTGGGGAGACATCTCTGTTTACAACCTGCTACAGTCCCCTTTAAAGCACACACACACGCAAACACTCACACCTAGACGGATAATAAAAAGCAAGCATATGCAGAACCACAGGTAGAGCGAGAAACACCAGGGAGGCAAAAGAGAGAGAGACTGAGGACAAAGAAAACACTAGAAAGATGAAGGGTGGGAGAACGGAGAGAGATCAACATCTCTTTCTTCCTCTCTTTCTCCCTGCTTTTAACTCTGTCATGCTGCTATATTTAGCCATTGAGGAAGAAGGAAGAGATTCATTATTGAATGGTGTATGGCAGGGTGTGAGTCATTTATTCATATTCTAGATTTTTAAATGTGTGTGCAAGGGCATCTTTAAAGGGGCAATAGACATATTTTCAACTGATAACAAATGAAGAGGTCATGGCGTCATCTATGTACGATGATGTCAACTGTAATAGCTAGTGCTATCATTGAATCATAGCTTGCGACCCTGGACAGGACACGCTGCATTTTGTTTACCATACTCATACTGGTTGTTCCCAAACCTCCAGGAAGAGCGCTAGCTGTTTATGCAAATATACGTAGTGGCCAAATGGGGGTACGATACTTACGTTCTAGTCCGTGACGTAATTTGGGCCCAAAACATACTTTTTCCCATTGACTTAGATAGATTGGGAAAGAGACATCCTTAAATCAGCATTTATAATTTTAGCCAAATAAACTACAAAGTATGAACACTTTTATAGCCCTTATTTAAATTATTAGGGTATAAAAGCAGAGTTCAGAGGTGTTTTCCCTCTCCATTGATTTAACAGAGCCGAAAGCGGGAGATTGGAGGCGGGGCTTCAGGAAAAATAAAGTGCACATCGGATCCTCTATGGGCCCAGATACAGTTACATTTAAAGCTACAGTCGCTCCATTTTGGGCGTAATGCACCACTGAGCAACTCGCAACGGGGCCTTACATTGCTACTTTTTTGGGTTAGCTACTTAGTCACGAGGGAAAATGAAAGTATTATCCTAATATGGCTTTGGTTGTGCAATGGTTGATGTACTTCCTTTGTGCTCAAATCGTACCTGGACACAGGCACAATGGCATACTGAATGCAAAGTCTAGAGGCTACCAATCTAAAGTTCTATAGCCATTACATGGTGCAATCAACATTTACTTCATAATAATAAGTTGATTTTTTTTCCCTCCCCTTCTAAGGATACTTGCTCCTCTGACTGTTTCACACTACCGTATACATACACACCCTGCGAGTGTAAAAAGGGAGCTAATCAAGTGGTAACATAACGCTAGGACAAAATGTGCCAAACATACACATCGAACAGTCATTGCTTATGATAAGCATTTCTAACACACACACCACACACACACACACACACACACACACACACAACACACACACACACACACACACACACACACACACCACAACACACACACACACACACACACACACACACACACACACACACACACACACACACACACACACACACACACACACACTTGTCCCTTTGTCCCTGTGTTTCTATATCAGTCTCTCTCCCTCTCTTTGCTTCTCTTTTTATTTTTCAGTCGACTACACTCTGCCCTCTCACAGCCTGACACACACACACACACACACACACACACACACACACACACACACACACACACACACACACACACACACACACACACACACACACACACACACACACACACGCATGCATGCATATAAATACCCACACTCACAGTTACACACACCCTGTGCTGGGGGACAGGGAGGCTAATTGAATGGTGCCCTGGGTGTTCTAGTAATGTGTGCACATGAGAAAGGAGTGCTCGAACAGATGATAGCACACACTCTCTCTCTCACACACACATATATATATATATATAAATAAAATGCATTATTATTATTATATATGTATATATATGTGTATATATATATATGTGTATATATATGTGTATATATATATGTATATATATGTGTATATGTATATATATATATATATGTATATATATGTGGATATTTATATATATGTGTATATATATATATAATATATATCATCACTTGGGACCAGGCTGGATCAGTTGTTCAGTTCCCCTTGAGCATGACTGTAGAAAACATGCACACTGAGATCTACACACAACACACACACACACACACACACACACACACACACACACACACACACACACACACACACACACACACACACACACACACACACACACACACACCACACACACACACACACACACACACACACACACACACACACACACACACACACACACACACACACACACACACACACACACACATACACACACATGTACAATACATGGTTCACACTTGCACACATACTGTATGATGATGTATGATTCCATAAATAGCCACTTCCTTCCTTTTTGGCTCATTGCCGTTCCCTTCCCCCTCCTCCTATTCATCATGGGAATGCTGATCCCAGAGGAAGGAGCACGCACTTAGGAAAAAGGTGAAGAAGAGGACAACAACTAGGATATATAATAATACAATAAGGAAAGACTGGATGTATTTAAGTGGCATGGAAATTCAAATTACAACTCTGCAGATTGTGTAGATATTCAGTATGTTCATATAATCATAGTATTATAACTCGTCCCTTTTTCCAATATTCTAATATTTCTCTCTTGGCTTTTTTTTTCTTGGTCTATCTGTTCCTCCCTTTCTCTCACTCGCTCATTCATCTCCCTCACACATTTGCTCTCGCACTCTCTTTCGGACACACTCTCTCTCCACTGGCTCTCTTTTCTCTTGTAAATGTAACTATTTATCTTCTGACCTTAACGAGACAGGCGGATTGATTTAAGTAGACACCACGTGAGTGTGTGTGTGTGTGTGTGTGTGTGTGTGTGTGTGTGTGATATAGACAGAGAGAGATTGTGACAAACACAATTAAATGTACAATGACACACTCCCTCTTGCTTTTTATTTATCTCTCTCTCTCACCCTCTCTTTCTCTCTCACAACTAGCCCTTAGATGTTATGTACACAGAGTCAAACGGTGATGTCACAATGGATCTCACTCAGTGTCCACGCAAGCTATTACACACCAACACTTTAATGTAGCCTGCGTCTGTTTGTGTGTGTGTGTGTGTGTGTGTGTGTGTGTGTGTGTGTGTTTGTTTGTTGTATTGTTCTGTGTGGGTGGTGTGTTACCAGAACATACACTTAGCATATTTAACTGACTAATAATGATGGCTTGTGGGTCTGTGTTTGTGTGTCTGTTAGTGTGTGTAAACAGGCGGCAAAAGCAGTTAGTGGCCAGACATTCACTTATGCACTGGAATTGAAGGCATTGCACCTTAAATGAAAATGTGATATCATGTTCATTTTTCAATATTGTTGTCATTATTTTTTGAATTTTAAAGTGTGACTTATCTAAAACAAACCTCAGAATGGAAGTTGTTTTAGTGGGAATTGTGTTTAATTATATTTTTCACGTCTGCCCCCTTCAGCAGGATTTGTCATTACTGCATCTAAAATTGGAAAGCTGGAGAGAATAGAGACATTTCAGCAATGACTATGTACAAAATGCACTTATTATGTCAAGCTGTATTTGTTTAGATGTATGACTCAAGAAGTGTTTGTTCCTTGACTGTCCTTGCTTACTCCATTTGAGTGGATGATTCTCGCCACCATCATTGCCAACTGCATTGTCTTGGCTCTGGAGCAACATTTGCCTGATGGGGACAAGACGCCGCTGTCTGAGCGCCTGGTGAGTTAAACAGGCAGGACACAGTGTGTGAGCCATATGTAAACACCATTCAACCCAGGTGACAGCTCTGACTACTTATTGATTTGACTTCAGTGGAGATGCATGCAGCTACTCAGCTTATAGACACATTTAAAGCAATGATTTGTTTCACCTTGAAAACATGTAATGATCCAGATGTGCAACACATTATCAATAATACATTAAGATTCCAAATGATTATACAAAATACACAAACTATTACTCTTAATCCATTAATATACTAAGTAAGAAAATGAATTCTCTACCATCTCTACGTTGCAACACATTTTTATGAAAATATTTCTTCTGAACACACATTTATCTAGCTACCGATTGGTGTCTGGCTTTGTCTCTGTCTACTTATATCCCTTTAAACCTTTCTTCCGTCCTTTTCCTTCCTCCCTTCATTAACCCCCTTGCTTCCTTTACTCTCTTTCCCTCCTCAGGATGATACAGAGCCGTACTTCATTGGGATCTTTTGTTTTGAGTCTGGAATAAAGATCCTGGCGCTCGGTTTCGCCTTCCACAAGAACTCCTACCTGAGGAATGGTTGGAACGTCATGGACTTTGTGGTGGTGTGCACAGGGTGAGTGGCAAACAAATAAACAATAGCCCTACCTGTCATAAAACACACACATGCAGTACCAGGGTGTCCGCGGGGTCTTAAAAAGTATTAAAAGTTGATAAATCCATTTAACGAAAATGAAGGCTATTAAAAAGTATTAAACGGCATTTTCCAAGGTATTACATTTTGTAGCTTGTTTTCAATAAGTATATCAATTGTCCAAAGAGGTTGTATTCTACAGTTAGCTTGAATGTAATCATTGCATAGGTGTGTAGTGTGATTCTGTGTAGTTTATTTATGGCATCCCGTTGGATGTGACGTCATCTGAACAGGACATCGCACGCTCACTGCTTGATAGCACGAAGGTCCGTTTACGCCGGTTGCTAAACAACATCGTTATGGGGAAATGCAAGTCTGCGTCCAAATGGTTGGAAGATAAGGAGGAAGGACCAATCAAGGATCAATACTGTGTTATAGTCAATGTGAGGTTAAGTGTGTCGCCAATGTAACCGGTTAAAACTCGAAGTGGCGATGAGGTCTTAAAATGTATGGTCTTAAAATAGGTCTTAAAAGGTATTACATCTGACTTCAGGATTCCTGCATATACTCCCTGAGTACATTAAGTACCTACATGAACACTTACAAATGCACACACGCATATATAAAAGATCAAAATATGATGTTGTTCAACTTAAACAGAAGAACATAGGGTCGTTTATCATGTGCTTTAGTGCTTGTTTGAACATGTGTATGTCTGTGAGGGTCCCACCCCTGCTCCTTTGCCCTAATAAAGGGCCCCATTCTGGGCAAGGCAGCAGGCAGATCACAGAGCAAAACTGCAGGCAGCCAGCAGCCTGGGTAGCGAGCAAATGTCACCATGATGTACACAGACAAAGAGGGGGTGGGGGTCACAGAGGAAAGAGACATCAGATAGAAGGAGTGAAAAGGGGATGTGCAGAATGAACAGGTGTATGTAGACAGAGAAGCAAAGGGATTGAATGGAAAGAGACAAGGGAGGTAAAAACCATCCCCTCCACAAAACAAGCGCGATTTGTCCAGATGTTTTCCCAACACGTGTCTATCTTATAATTCACCATGTTAACTGTAAATTGACGTTCAGTCTTTAACAACACTTTCTCTTTAATGTAAATATTGCAGGCTGTGTGGTGTTTACAACTGTGAAAACGCTGGTGTGTGGGAGCAGTTTTTGTTAAATGATTAATGGGATTTACACGACTGTAATTGCATAAGTGATCGGTTAGGGAGAAGAGAAAAAACGGTATTGAATGTGTGTCTTATTGTTGATGTGAGAATACTCTCAGTTAACTGAACCACACAACTGATGTTCTCTATACAGTAGTTGTTTTAAGACATTCGCAAAGCTTAATAACTATTTTCTGATAATAACAACACACTTTGGTTCTCATTTTTTCTTTTGCTAATTGTGAAATACATTGATTCTGATAGCATAGATAGAGTACATGAACCATTAGACATGCCACATAGGGAAACTGTTACTATGCTACTGTGTCCAATACAATGAGATGTGGGAGTTCTGGCGCAGGTTCATATGTTGAGGTCACTGCATATGGTTATTTGGGAGCTTTATATGTTACATAAACCTTCCACATATTTGCTGACAAAGCACCAGAGAAACTGGTGATTGCCCCCCTCTGCCTACCTCTATCTCTTTTTCTCACACACATTTACCGTATGGCGGTATGTCCTTATGCTTCAATAATAAGAGTAATCATGAATCCAAGCTCTTCCCGGCATTGCAAAGTAAGAGACTGTAAGAGAGACGAGGGGTGAGAAGATGAGTGTCGGCGAGACAGGAGGGAGGAGAGGAAGAACAGGGAGAGCAGAGGGAAGTGAAGCAGTCCTTAACTTCCAGGAAACGCCCGGTCTCACATAATCCCCCCCCCCCACCTCTGTTTTTTTAAGAGGACATCTAATGTTTTGACAGTGAAACCCTCTGAGCAAGCATGACACAGCAGTTTAATGCTGTGTGAGATGTTGTTACAACAGGCAAGCAGAATGTTATGGTTTTAATGACAATGTACCTCCAAAGTGAACCTGCAAAGCACTTCCTGATATGATAGCAATCACAGGCATTGGTGTCTTTAGACTACTTTCAAAGTGTCCTGGCTTTGAACTTAAAAAGCATGTTCATGGCCATGTTAGATTTCTCGAGAAAATAGATGGAAACTAGGCTTACATAATTGTCTTGGATCTCTCTTCCTTTATCTCATATTTTTGTAATGAAATGAGAAAAATGATGCACGGGTGACCATTTCCTCTTATAGTGTCAACCATATTGCAATTGCAATCAGTCAAAAATGATTGCAAGATATTGGTTCATAATTGTTTATCCTTATTATCGTTATAGGACTGAAAAGTGCACCAAAATGGTTTGTTAAATAGTCAAAACATTTGGCAAAAATTTGATTTTTTCAGTAGAAGTACAGTCCAAGAAGAAACAAATTGCTCTCTGCAACCATGAAGAGTCACTGGAAATAACACTGTCTGAGGCACTACTTTAAGAAAACAGATATAGACTGAGGAAAGCTAGCAATATGTCAAAAAGGAGTAAAAATGAATACAAAAAACCATCTAAGTACTCTGCAATGTAAACAACAGTCACGCAACACACCCAGCTTTGTAACCATTTTGCAGAGAGGCAGGAAGTTGCAGCAAGAAATGCAGACAGAGAATATGCTGCAGCACTTACAACACACATACTGTATATTCCCATGATACATTATGTACACTGACTGAAGTCAATACATTGTACACACACACACACACACACACACACACACACACACACACACACACACACACACACACACACACACACACACATCTTTTGTCGTGCTCTCTATGAATGGGGGTTGTGTTTTCAGCAGTGCTGCTCTTTGAAGATGAAAGGCTACTTGGCCTTTCTATCCACCCTTGGACGGAACCTTTGATAACACTCTGACCAATGCACGCACACAAATCCACACACTCACATTTCCACATCAAACATTCCTTTCCATTTCCTACTCAATTCTATGGGCTCGTGTGACATACAAAGAAAAAACACACATGGCTCTAAACATGTCTGAATAGATTAGATATTCACTCCACAACCTTGTTGCATGTTAGCAGATTTGTGTGCACTCTTGTTTCTGTGTGTGTTGACCTATCTCTTGTAGTAAACTGCCTGAGTGATTTGGCCCTGGGAATAAGCTAGTTGTTTTTTTTATGCCAAGTATTGATTATTAGTCCAATTACCTTTAGTTTACAGCCAGTCTCGACTCGCATCCTCCCTCCATCTCTCCTTCTTGTTCCTTCATTCAGGTTTGTTTATTGTGAAAAACAGCTGACACATTCAGATAATTAAAAACGGAATAGGTCATGGAGGCATTACTTTCAGTTCTGTCATTGTTTAGAGTTGTACTGTATAGATTTCTGATATAAAGCTGTGTGTTTGACATTTTCTTAACCTTTAATTGTCTTTGAAGTTACGTGACGTTAAACATAATGTCATTAAAAGGAATGATACACTATTAGTATGTAAGGCAGGATATAAAGTTAATACGAGAGGAAATGTATAATTATGCAGATACATGTTATTATGTAATCGTAGTATCATACGAAAGCAAGGAGACAAGAAAAAGTGGAAAGTTTGGAGGGGAGATGAAGCGATTTGGTCAGTGATGTGGACAAAGATAATTAGCCACATTTAGCTGAAGTCGGCAGGAAAGCAGGCGGAGGGAGCAGGCGAAAAAAGATGGTGTTTGTATAATGGTGTCCCATGAGAGCGGGTTGGTGGGGAGATTGTGTAATATTGCTTAATGTGATTGTCCTGAATCATTTGTGTGCCTCTGTATAAAGTGCAGGTGTGTTTATCTGTGTATAACATGTGCGCTAGGCAGCTTCTCTGTCCCTGACGACATTTTTATCCATCGTTTATTACAAATGACCTACTTTCTAGTGTGCATCTGTGAATACAATCATTCACACTCAATATGTTAGATCTCCAACCAGCGGCCGTGCGTGTGTGTGTGTGTGTGTGTGTGTGTGTGTGTGTGTGTGTGTGTGTGTGTGTGTGTGTGCATTTGTTATCTTTTTCTGTATGTGTACATGTGTGTTTGTGTGTGTGATTTGTGATGCATTTACATCATAGAGAGAAGAGAGGAGAAAGAAAATAAAACAATTAATCAGGCTCCTCCATTGGCCCTGTTACCAAGGTGATACAGAGATTCTATCAATGAGCCAAGGTCCCTGTTGCCATGGAAACACTTATGAATGAGAAAATACCCAGTAACCGTGGAGACGGTGTGAATGAGGAAATGCCTCATCGGCTTGACACCGTTTGTGACGGCGGATGCTGTTTTAGAAACTGAAATCTTCATTATTACCATCATTGTCCTCATCGTCATTTTGTGTGTTTTTAATATCAAAAATCGTAGAAATGGGTATTTTTTTCTTTCTCGAATGGCTTCTCTTTTGTATTCCCAATAATGCAGATTCACAACACAAACATATATATTTGTCATATTCACTGTTTGTGTTTTTATCAAAGGGGCCCTATATGGTCAGATAGGGTTAGAGAGTGTGGAGGAATGTTGGGGATTTTAGACTTTGCATCACATTTACATGCATCAAAAATGATACACGTTGATACCAATAAAGTCTATTAGCAAAACAAGTAATGGCTTACCATATTTAGGTGAGCTCTAATTGGAAAGCACTTCCAGTTATACATCTGAATGTTTTATATATATATTTCTTCGCACATGTCAGAATTAGGGCTGTCAGTCGATTAAAATATTTCCATGATGTCCATAGTTAATCACGATTAATCGCACATTTTTTATCTGTTCTAAATGTACCTTAGAGGAATATTTTTCAAGTTTTTAATACTCTTATTTAGACAAATATGCTTTATGCAAATGTTTGTTTATTATCATTGGAACAATGACAAATATTCTCCTGAATATTGTCAACACAACAACCTGGAACCTCTCCCTCTCTCTCTCTTACACTCTCTCCCAACCCTGTCTACTTCTTTGCACTGAGCCAGTTGCTCAAACAGACAAGCCTGTTTACAGTTGTCGGCGAAATGCCGCTCCTCTGTCTTCATAACAGTCAAAGCATGAGACTGAAGTTCCCACCTAGGGTCAAAATAATGCGCTGTGATGTCCACTCGACACGTTGGATGCGATCCGAATTATCTCACAGAGTCTCTCGTCCTCCACAATGTTAATTGTCCTGCAAGCTGTAGCCACCGCCACCCATTTAGCTATCGCTGTTGAAAGATTGCTGCTCGTAGACGCCGTGTCCAGGCGTCTCCCCGGCAAACTTTCAAGCGTGGTCTGCCGCAAGCGAGCGGCAGGAGCGGGGCTGTCAGCATCAGCTGTGTGCTTGGCTTAAAACACCTTTTTTTGTATCCATATCTCTCGCTAGAATCTGCCACCATCCAACTAACAATAACAACAACGTCAAGCCTTTGGGCTCTGAAACTACGGGGCGGGCCGAGGACAAATACACATGCGTTAATCGCACGTTAAAATAATTAGTGGCCTTAAAAAAAACGTGCGTTATTAATGCGTTAACTTGACAGCCCTAGTCAGAATATATGGTTCAGTGAGCTACTAAAGGGAACATCTGCCATGATGTTTCTGCTTCACACAGCTGTACTACAGTGTTGCACAGGACCTCTCAGTTACAAGTCAGCCTCTGTTGAGGTATTTGATATCACACAATGTCATTACAAGGACCCCAGCCTACACTAGTGATGGAGTACATATACCACTGGGGGTGGGCTTCTTGGTAATTCAATACAGCATCCTTCAATAGATTCAGGATTGGTGTTACTTTTCCCTTTCCTGCCATTTTTAAAGGTTTCCACACAAAAGAGGGCTGACTTCAAACCTGTGATTAAGGCTCTGCTGTGTCACTGGGCCTCTTAGTGGAACAGATGAAAGTGGAAATGTGTCAGAGAGACCGAAAGAGAGAGAGAGAGAGAGAGAAGTGGGAAGGAGGATGATTCACAGTGTGCGTCAGACCAGAGGATTGACTGGAAGTCTGGCGGCACGAGGGAACATCTTAAACAACTGAAGCACGAACATACACACACATGCTGTTCACAAGCCTTTTATTCCGATGATGAGCGGTGTTATCGGCGCTGAGACACACACCAACACACGGTTACTCTGCAGTCTGGCGACACCTCCAAGATAAACAGTTTGAACGTAACGAGAATAAAAATAGGTGGAAATAAGCAAGTCAGCATCTTTGTTTCTCACCATCTGCCAGCGCTCCCTCTCTCTCTCGCTCGCTCCCCCGCCCTCTTGTCCTCCCTCTCCTACCCATCACCCCATCTCTCCTCTTTCATTTTAAAGTCTTTCTATCATCCTGTTGAAAAACACAGTCCCTTCAGCCCATCCCTTTCTCGCCCTGATACACTCTCTGCCTTTCTTCACTTGTCAGCTGTATTGATCAGCTCTGCTCTTACAGGATTTACATACAGTGCTCACCCAGTAGCTTGTAATGACCTGGCAAGGGGTCTGCGTTAAAGTGTGTGCTTGTTTGTAAAAGCGTGTGTATGAATGAGGCTGACTGACGGCTTGACTAGCTTACATATTGATTGCCTTTGCTCACATTTGTGCATTTGTCTCCTTCCCTTTAGGATCCTGTCCACTATAGGCTCAGATTTCGACTTGCGGACTCTCAGGGCTGTGCGAGTATTGAGGCCCCTTAAACTGGTGTCCGGTATTCCCAGTAAGTCCAATCTCTTCATTCTGCATTGAAAAATAAGGACTTATTTGTTTTTCAGTAGTCTCCTGCCTTTACCCAAACAGTATTTTTGTTTTTCCTAAGCTGAGGAAATGTTTTAGCTTAGCTTAGTTTAGCTTAGCTGCATAACTTGTTCAGGTTTTATTGGTGGATCAGAAATAGCATAAATAAGCTTTTTATGTCAAGGTGTTATGCAGCTTCTGTGTTCTTCATAATGCACCCAAAGTGTTCTAATACAAGTGGATGTTCTATGTACTCTCTGCTCCTTTTTAAAAAATGTTATAGCAGCAGTAGTGTTCCAGCACCACTGCAGTGTTATTAATAGCGTGGACTCCACTACAGAGCTCAACTGGCAAACCAAGGCTTACTCATCACAAAAAAGTCACTAAGCTCCCCATGAAAACCAAATTACAGTTTCTTTCCAATATGTAATATACATTTGATAAATGTGATTGGTTTCCACAAAACAACATTTCACATTAAATAGAACCTGCCACAAACGAGTGCTTGGAGACCTTTTGTTTGTTAGAAAATATTTTTCAGAAAACCTCTACAAACCTCATTTTACCTCTGGTGACATTCTGCCAGCAAAGTAAATAGTGTATTAAGCCAAGTATTTTTGTATTTATGGTTTACATTATGATAAATTAAACAAGTCATGCTGATAGTGGAGGACATGAAGGGTTACTTTTTTAAAGATTTACACTGCTATTAATAATTAGAGGAAGGAGCACCCCTCTTCAGATCCTTGCACCTGATCCTCTCGATGAAAACGCATTTAAATGTAAATTAATGATGGTTAATAATAATTCTCAACACTGTTTGCACTTTGTCCTCCAGGCTTACAGGTGGTGCTCAAATCCATCATGAAGGCCATGATTCCTCTGCTGCAGATTGGCATGCTTCTTTTCTTCGCCATCCTCATGTTCGCCATCATCGGCCTGGAGTTCTACATGGGCAAATTCCACACAACATGCTATGACAATCACACAGGTAAAGGATAGTGTGTGTTTGTGTGTGTGTGTGTGTGTGTGTGTGTGTGTGTGTGTGTGTGTGTGTGTGTGTGTGTGTGTGTGTGTGTGTGTGTGTGTGTGTGTGTGTGTGTGTGTGTGTGTGTGTGTGTGTGTGTGTGTGTGTGTGTGTGTGTGTGTGTGTGTGTGTGTGTGTTGTTTTTGCCAACAGTGCTTGTTAATTTGCTGTTTACCCCAATGAACACCTGTTCCGGATGAGGCTAGACTATTAATAGTCACAGTACTAAAAATAGAAAGGCAATTTAGTTCAGCTAAATTTATATTACATAATTGGCTTTAGATTGTTTACAGTGCCTCAATTCTGTGTTTATGTGATGAAAGGCAGTTTCCACAGAACATTTCTAATTATTTTCTTGTTATGCATAATTTACCTCTTTTCTCTGTATATATAGATGACATTATAAAAATAGTATCTCATCTACCAAGAAACAAAACTGTTGAACACTTGTTGGTCTATTGAGAATATAAGATGTTAAATGCCTCAATAATTCAAGCAGGTGAGCCTATTTGGCACGCCTATAAGGTGAAAAATCTTAACAAACAACATAATTTCCTACGACTCCCTTTTGTTTTGAAACTCCTCCCCTCATTGTTTGGTGTTCAGGTGAGATGAAAGAAGAGTATCCATGTGGGACAGAGCTTCCGTCGCGGCTGTGTCCAGAGGGCACCTTGTGTCGAAGGTACTGGACGGGACCAAACTACGGCATCACCCAGTTTGACAACATCCTGTTTGCTATCCTCACCGTCTTCCAGTGTATCACCATGGAGGGCTGGACTGACCTGCTCTACTATGTATGTACTGCTAAACACAGTTTTCAACACCTTTACACAGCCCCTGACAAAATGCAGGAAGAAATATTACATTTTTTGAAAGACTTTATTCCTTCTAAGCTGTTTAAATGGCTAATGTAAACAAGCCAAAAATATTCCTGATTACCTCCAGTCATGCAGACCTGGTAAAAAAAACAGTTGTTAAAGTTTCAAGTCAATCATTTGAGAGTTTCAGGTCTAGGTTCAGGTGACAATAGAGGCAAGCATTCAAGAAAAGAGGATACTAATAGAGAATTCAAACTTCATCAGCACTTTTATAGATATGCTGTACTAACAGATAAACACCAATTATTAAGAATCACATACAGTATCAGTTTGTTAGCCATGTTAACCTTGTTTTTATCAGCAATACCTTGGTTTGTATAGACATTATTCTCATACTTGGCGGCCATTTTGTTGGATTGTTTGTTAGGATAAAACTGCCACTCGATGTATGGAAAAATAAATGAAATATTCCCCGTCAAATGTAGCTTAACATTTGTCTTATGTTCGTCCAACATGTCTGTCAGAAGTCTCTACATTTTGATGCTGCACAACCGAAACATCCAAGATTATTTTCTCCCATTAAATGTTATATTAAAGCATAAAAACCTCCACTGATTCTACCTGTGCACCCTGAGAGCCTGCCCAGAAATAGGTACCCGGTCCTGAACAGTGTCATCACTCATGCCCAAGACCGAGCAGTTCCCTGCTGTCAGTGGTAACGGTTGCTAGGAGACCAGAGGTAGATGAGGGTCTTTGAGTGTAACTGTACATCGTCTCTCCCCCCCTCCTCCTCTCCCTCTCAGTCTTCCCGCTGCTCTTTCTCTTTCTTCATCCCTCCTTTTTTTTATTTTTCTCCCTCTCCTCCCCTCATTTCCTTCCTTCCTCTTTTCCCCTCGCACTCTGTGTCTCTCTCCCCGTGTCCCTCCTTCCCGGTGCTGCTCTATATTTAAAAGGGCCTGTTCAGCCCAAGTTATTCTTGCAGCTGCTGGGGAGGGGAGCGATAAAAGTTTAATGGTAGAAAAAAGAGTCTGCGGTATATTGGGTTCACAGCAGAAATGCCAGCTTACATGCAGGAAGAAGGAAAGATGGAGGACGGAGGAGACAGGGGGACGCTAGACTGCAAGCCTCTGAGAAAGAGGGCGCAACACAGGAAAGAGAAGAGGGGGTCTAGGGGTGAGAAGGGGTGATATGAAGAATCAGTTTAGAAAAAAATATCTAAGCAAGAGAGTAGGAAATAATAGAACAAACAAACAATAAAACAAATAAAATAAAAAGGGGAAGCAGAAGAAAGGAAGAGTGATGCAAAAGGAGGAAACCATAAGGAGAGAATAAAGGAGAGTCTGGACAGCAGGATGGTGCAGATAGAGAGGGGGAGAGACCAAAGTATTTGTTATACATTATTTACTCTGCACTGAGCAGCTAAATAGAGTGGCAGATATGCATTTACTTATTGAGATGACTTAAAGCAAAATCATGTCCGCCTTGCTGTTGTTTATGTTTCCCACAGCTGTAGACAGCACTTTGAAGTGAACTGACCTCCATTTTTTTTTTTAATGCCACATTGTTTAATGTCTACTTTATGTGACATTTTCTTGCATGTTTACTCCAGATGTAACAGGGCTGGATGATAAGTACCTCCATATCGGTATCACAACAATATTGTAGGGCTGAGTATTGCTTTCACAAAAATATTTACACAATTCGATTTTCGATTAACAATCATCAGTAATGTTGATTAAATCACTAAGTGGTTAAAGGGCAACAAAAAAAAAGTGCCTGAGTTAAGAAAATGTTCTGTAATGCAGCGTTTAATACCACAAAAAGAGAATACTTTTGCCATATAACGACATTATGATATCCAAAATCTAGCACGATATCTAGCCTCATATCAGGGTAGTGATCTTATATCGATATATTCCCTATCCTTATACCATGTGTGCAGTACCTGGATGCTAAAAAGTGCACCTTAACTTGATAAGCAGGCTAATCAATGGAACTGGTATTTTATTAAATACTTGGATATCGAGTTTGTCTTAAAAAAAAAGCCTTACATTCAGCAAGGACAGATCCAATCATATGCCAGTGCAGTTAACTCATGCAAATGCATACCTGTTGTAACCTGGGTCTCGCAAATACACGCCACATGTTCTGATGTCGCAAATTGTTAATTGATTACTTTCGTGTGTCCGTGTGTGCATGTGTGATCACAGAGCAACGATGCCTCAGGGAGTGCATGGAACTGGATGTACTTCATCCCCCTCATCATCATTGGCTCCTTCTTCATGCTCAACCTAGTGCTGGGTGTGTTGTCAGGGTAAGTGTGTGTTTGTGACAACTATATTGTAAATGTTGTTGATATATAATTGCACTTCCCATATTCATTGGCGGTTAAAAAAACTTGTTTTTATGTCACAGTAAAACATGCAGGGTATCATTAAAAGTGTCTAACTTGGTGTGTGTGTGTGTGTGTGTCGGCAGGGAGTTTGCCAAAGAGAGAGAGCGTGTGGAGAACAGGAGTGAGTTCCTGAAGCTCAGAAGACAGCAGCAGATAGAAAGGGAACTCAACGGATATCTGGAGTGGATCTGCAAAGCTGGTATGTGTTAATTCATCACGCACAGAGACATGTAGACATGTGGAGGCGGCTGTGGCTCAGTGGATAGTGTGCTAGACTTCGAATCAGGGGGTAGCAAGTTCGAGTCCCACTGCAGTCAGCATGTCGTTGTGTCCCTGGGCAAGACACTTCACCCCAAATTGCTCCTATGGGGATTTCCCACAGTATGTTAGTCGCTTTGGATTAAAGCGTCTAACAAATGACATGTAATGTAATGTATAAACATATTGCAAAAAAACACAATAATGATCCTTTGCCAACAACTTACATAGTCAGGATTGTGATATTAGTACAATATTAAAGCATCTGTTTGGTGCTTTACAGTAATAGCCTATGACTAATGAATAATAATCTGATGGATTTTATTGTGAAGCAGCTGCAACTGAGATAATACTTATTCATTTTAACTGTATTTTCTTTAATCAAAAAAGCTTTTATTGTGAAGTTTCGATAGTTTGAAGCACACCTCAACTCAAATCAGGATTTACATTAAAACAATTCAATCATAAAGGTTAGATTATTAGGTACGTTTCTGGGCAGTGTATTGTAGTCATAACTCTCCTTCAACTGCAAACAAAACTTGAATTACAGCCAGTGCACTAAATATAAGTGAACAGCTTTGATTTACACTCATTTAGCAAGGATTAAAGCCCCTTGTTTGAAGCTTCGATGGAGAAGACTGCCTGTCCGTAGTTCTCTTCGTCTCTTTTGTCTTCTCACTGCTGAGGGCAGGGAAGATGTGGAGAAGATAAGAGGAACGGAGGGTTGGATGTTGGATGCAGCGGCAGGGAGAAAAGGGCAGACCTTTGATCTTCTTGAAAAGACAATCTACATAAAAACAAGGAAGCTAGAATGCAAAGGAGGGAGGGATGAGAAGCAGGCACAGGTGCAGGACAGACACTTTGTGTCCGGTTTGAATTAAAATAAGAAATGACGATGATAACAAAAGATTGACAGACACTGTGGAAGTCATCAAACAAATTCAATGTCGCATATTAACATATTTTTGTTTAATATGTGTTTCGCAGAGGAGGTCATCTTGGCGGATGATGACAATGTCACGGCTTATGATGGTAAGAATTTTCTTATTAACTGTGTTGTATGGCTGTGATTTTAAAACAAAATGATACAAATATATGTAACATGTCAGTACTTTCAAAGTAAACACATAATGTTTCTATTGCAGGCTCACGTAGAAGAGCCACAAAGAACCATAAGAGCAAAGCTGAGCTGCTGAACCCAGAGGAAGGGGAGGGAGACCTGGCAGTGGGTAAGATACAAACTCTCTCTCACACACACACACACACACACACACACACACACACACGCACGTACGCACACGCACACACACACACACACACACACACACACACACACACACACACACACACACACACACACACACCACACACACACACACACACACAGGCAAACCACAGGTACATACAGATGCTATCTTATCTTGCATATCAGCATTACCTGACCCTCCTCTCCTTCTCTCTCTCCTTCCCTCTCCTCTATTCTGCTGCTTGGCACTTCTCTCCTCTTGTTACCTTTTTCCCCTTTCCTCAACCCCCCCCCCCCCATTTAACACCTTTATTTTCCTTCTTTCCTTCCTTCCTCATTCCTTCAGCTTTCTTACGCTAGGCAAGTCTGCCTTTTCTCCTGCGAGATGTGTAGTATGTGTAGAGGAAATAATACTTTGCTGAAATCAGTAAAGATAAAATGCTTATGAAAATGAATGAACCAATAATATCTACAGACCAATAAAGGGGAGCATTCAGAAAAGCACAAAGCTATCATTTAGGGAGAGGATCTACACTATTGAGTTTGGTGGACGTGATATGATTAAAGATAACATTTTAAACCAGTTTAAAGCTGTTAAACCTCTTCACTATTCGTCCATCGGGACACTCAATCTTCTACTGTATGTGTCATCATCGCGGTATGTGTGCCAGGAGAGCCTTTTTTGTGTTGTGGCGTGTAACTTATTGAACCTCCTGCTGTGTATGAATCAGAAAGCAGAGGACATTTTACACTGTGTACAGTTTTGCTTATCCAAGATGCTAAGTGCACACAGTTCTGCCAATAAATCACTCTATACTTCATTATCAGGCTAACACCAAACCATTTTCCCTCGCTTTATCCTTTCAGGGTCACCGTTTGCCCGGGCCAGCTTGAAGAGCTCCAAGCTGGAAGGATCAGATTTCAAGCGGCGAGAGCGACGGCTACGCTTCCTCATCCGACACGCCGTCAAGTCGCAGGCCTTCTACTGGACCGTGCTATGCTTGGTCGGGCTCAACACTATGTGTGTGGCTGTAGTGCACTACGACCAGCCGGAGCCTCTGTCAGATTTTTTATGTGAGTATGAGGGAGGGGATACATGCTAACTCTGTGTAAGCATCGACAGATTATCTCCACCTATGCACTATTACTAGAAAGGAGTGGGTGAGCAAAAAGTAAATGTGACTAAATCCATGAAAAAGCTGACTAACCCAAACACACCATTTCTCCCTTTTGCATATACTATTGAACAAATGGGATGAAATTAATTGTACCGAAAAAAATTATACAGCTATAACAATATGGAAACCGGAAATTGTGATAAATTTAAAAAAAATTAAAAACAACATAATAGTGAGAAATTGGAGTATTTGTTCAAAAATATTTTACGCTAATTGAGAGTATTAAAAAATACTTTTAGAATATCTTGATACACAATACGGATTTTGATACAAATAAAACTTAAAATGCATTCTTAAATATATTTCACATAAATCTGACCTCTTTTCTCCTCTTCCTCCTCTTCCTCCTCCCTTCTTATCATCTTCCTTCCCTGCAGATTTTGCTGAATTAATCTTCCTGGGGATATTCTTGACAGAGATGTTTATAAAGATGTACGGCCTTGGCAAACAGGCCTACCTCAACTCCTCCTTCAATTGCTTCGACTGCATTGTGAGTCCCAACAAACACACACACACACACACACACACACACACACACACACACACAACACACACACACACACACACACACACACACACACCACACACACACACACACACACACACACACAACACACAAATCCATAAGCAGGTGCAAACACTCATTTCACACCACCATGCACACATTTAATAACATAACCACACAAACAATTTGACCTCACACACAAACAAAGATACAGGGATGATGCGTTGGCTCATCATGATGAATGACATGCGTGCATATGCTTGTGTTTGCTTTAGGTGATATGTGGTAGTATATTTGAAGTGCTGTGGTCCATCATCCAGCCGGGCACGTCGTTTGGCATCAGCGTGCTTCGAGCTCTCAGGTTATTGAGGATTTTCAAAGTCACGAAGTGAGTACTCTAGCTTTAGTTCTATTCCTCATATTCATGCATTGGACATAACATTGCGCTCAGCTAAACACACTCGTTCTGTCTTCTTCTTGCCAGGTACTGGAAATCTTTGCGCAATCTTGTCGTCTCACTGCTCAACTCTATGAAGTCCATCATCAGCTTGCTCTTCCTGCTCTTCCTCTTCATAGTTGTCTTCGCCCTGCTGGGCATGCAGCTCTTCGGAGGACAGTCAGTGCTGCTTCCCTTAACCTCTGCATCTCTTTCTATCTTCTCTTATATCCCAAAGACATTGTTTTATTATTGCCAGTTTGGTTAAGAAAATTAAATAATTGACGTGTTGTACCTATAAGATACTTCTGTGTTTTTGCCTCACGCTTCTGTTTTCCATTTCTCTTCCATGTAATGTTTTTCCTCTACTAGGTTTAATTTTCTAAATGGCACTCCTCCGACCAACTTTGACACCTTCCCCGCAGCAATAATGACGGTGTTCCAGGTAAGCAGAGGGGGTGGTGTGAAAGGGAGTAAGGGAGGGAGAGGCTGGCGGGGGAGGGACAAGGGTTGGATTATGACAACATGATTTAAGAACTAAAGAGGATATTCACACAAGGAAAAATGTAAAATGCTACTTTTGAATTGACAAATGTCTTTAGTGAAAGGTTTAATTGTGCTTAACTGTGTGTGTGTGTGTGTGTGTGTGTGTGTGTGTGTGGTGTGTGTGTGTGTGTGGTTGTGTGGTGTGTGTGTGGTGTGTGTGTGTGTGTGGGTGTGTGTGTGGTGTGTGTGTGTGTTGTGTGTGTGTGTGTGTGTGTGTGTGTGTGTGTGTGTGTGTGTGTGTGTGTGTGTGTGTGTGTGTGTGTGTGTGTGTGTGTGTGTGTGTTGGGTGTGGTGGTTGGGGGTGGTGGAGGTGGTGGTGTGT